CTCTGATGCTGCTTGGCCTGCTGTGTTCATCCAGCTCTACACCTTGTTATCACAGTATTCCAGGTGTGGTCTCACCAAGGCCCTGTATAACTGCAACAACATATCCCTGCTGCTGTACTCGAAACCTCTCACAATGAAGGCCAACACAGCATTTGCCTTCTTTACTGCCTGTTGCACCTGCATTCTTACCTTCAGCGACTGGTGCACAAGGACACCCAGGTCCCACTGCACACTCCCCTCTCCCAATTTAGACCATAACCATAAGACCATAAGACATAGGAGCAGAAATTAGGCCATTTGGCCCATCGAGTCTGCTCCGCCATTCAATCAACCCCATTCTCCTGCTTTCTCCCCTGAACCCTTGATCCACTTGATAATCAAGAATCTATCTATCTCAGTCTTAAATGTACTCAATTTACAGCCATTCAGGTAGTAATCTGCCTTCTTGTTTTTTCTTCAGAAGTGAGTAACCTCATATTTACCCAAATTATACCAGTTTGTATCTATTTGTGTTGCTAATTGATCTACTTTATTGTGAATGTTCCATGCATTAAGACGCAAAGGCTTTCATTTTAACCTCATTAGTTAGCTTTATTTTGCACTTTTGCCCCATCTGTTTTTCTCCTTTTTTTTTCTGCCTTCTACTTTTGCTTCTCCCCTTGTTTTTCTCTCCTGTGTCTCCCTGCTCAGGTTCCCATCCTCCTGCTATTCCAATTTAAATCCTCCCCAACAGCAGTAACAAACACATCACCAAAGACATTGGTTCCCTTCCTGCTCATAAACAACCTGGCCTGTTTGCATTGATCCCACCCTTGCCAGTTTTAGTCCCAATGTCCCAGGAATCTCAATCTCTCCCTCTTATACCATTTCTCCGGTCACATATTCACCTGTTATATCCTGTTCTTTTTACTCTCTCTAGCCCGTGGCACTGTGGTGATCCTGAAATTACCAACTTTAAGGTTGTACATAACTCCCAACACTCAGCTTATAGGACTACAGAGATAACAAGGTGTAGAGCTGGATGAACACAGCAGGCCAAGCAGCATCATAGGAGCAGGAAGGCTGACGTTTCGGGCCTAGACCCAGGACTACATGCCTGTTTTTACCTATGTTGATGGTACGGCTATGTACCATGGCTGTTCATCCTCATCCTTCAGAATGCCCTGCAGCCTCTCCAAGACATCTTTTACCCTGGCACCAGTGACTTAACATACCATCCTGAACTGTCTTTTGTGGCCACAGAAACATGTGTCTGATCCCCTTACAAATGAATCCCTGACCATTAAAGCCCTGCCATTCTTTTTCCTTCCCTCTTGTGCAGCAGAATCACATGTAGTGTCATGGACAGGCTCCTGCTGCTATCCCCGAAAAACCATCTTGCCCAATAGTATCTAGAAAGGGACAGCCACAGGGGTCTCCTGTACTACCTGCCATCCACTATTATGCTGGCCGTCCATTCCCTTCCTGCTAGTTCAATCTTCATCTGCAGTATGACCACATTGCTGAACGTAATTTGTATAACATGCTGAGCATCGCAGCTGCTCCACAGTGAATTCACTCACAGCTCCAGGATGCAGAATGGCCAGCAGATGCAGTTGGACACAGCTTCTGTGCACACAGTCACCAGGAATACTGGAAGTGCCCATAACTTTTGCCCATCGGGTGAGAGGAGTATATCCTGGTTACAAACTCCACTGCTATGGCTTCCCTTTTGAGGAAGCTTGTTAGTTGCTTCCTTTAAAGAATACTCATTCTGCGAGGGATCTTATCTCATTCTAAACACTCCAGCTGCAGTGCAAAATTCCTGCCTTAAAGTGAAGATTAGTGGGAAGCCAGAGGACTGAGAAGCTTTTAAAAGCCAGCAGAATGTAATTTTAGAATCACTGGAGTCAGGGAGGACTGGAAAATGGCTAATGTAGCAGCTGTGTTTAAAAGAAGGGAAGGAGATAGAAGATGGCCGAATATAGGATGGTTAGCCCGACCTCAGTCATTGGTAAGATTTGAGAGTCCATTATTAAGGATGAGATTACAGAGTACTTGGAGGTGCATGGTAATATAGGGTGGACTCAGCATGGCTTTGTCAAGGGGAGGTCATGCCTGTCAAATCTGTTAGAATTCTTTGAGGAGGTAATGAGCAAGTTAGACAAAGGAGAGCCAATGGATGTGATCTGTTTGGATTTCCAGAAGACCTTTGATGAGGTTAGGGTTAGGGAAGGCCTCTACGTCCTCGGAGGGCTAAGGAAATTCTGCGTGTCGACTATGACTGTGACCAATTTTTATATCTGCACCATCGAAAGCATCCTACCCATTTGCATCTCAGCTTGGTATGGCAACTGCTATCCTCAAGACCATAAGAAATTGTGTGTAGTGAAAGCAGCCCAGACCATCACAAAAATCAGCCTTCCATCATTGACTTCATCTACACTTCCCGCTACCTCAGGAAAGTGGCCAACATAATCAACAAGCCCTCCTATGCTGGTTATACTCTCTTCCACTCTCTTCCATCAGGTAGAAAATACTAGAGAGTTTGAAAACATGTATCATTACATACTAAGAGGGAGGTGATGGCCTAGTGGTATTATCGCTGGACTGTTAATCCAGAGACCCAGATAATGTTCTGGGGACCCGGGTTCGAATCCCACCATAGTAGATGGTGGAATTTGAATTCAATTAAAAATCTAGAATTAGGAGTCTAATGGTGACAATGTGTCAATTGTCAGGAAAAACCCATCTGGTTCACTAATGTCCTTTAAGGAAGGAAACTGCCATCCTTACCTGGCCTAGTCTACAGCAATGTGGTTGACTCTTAACTGCCTGATGGGCAATAATTGCCAAGCTAGACAGTGACACCCTCATCCTGGGAATGACTAATAAAAAAAAAAATAGGGTTGATCTT